CTAGGCAGAGAAGAGATTCAGTTCACCATGAAGCTCCAAATAAAGGCCTTAGGAAGCCGGTAGAATCGGGTCAGAAATGCTATATCTGTTATTATTAGGTTGTCGCAAAAATGATTGTGGTTTTGACCGATGAATGCAAAACGTAATAAACCGGCTTGAACGAATTTTTTCTGATTAAAATGTGCACCATCAGAGTCATCACATAGTTGCCGACACCTGGGAAATGAGTTTGTGCCGTCGTGGTAAAAGCTTGGATCATGGGAACCCACAAACTGTCTTACGGCTTTTTTGAATTTCTCCATATTTTAATAAACGTGTTGATATAGTTGTGCGCCAGAGGCCCGAAAAAGATGCCAGTACAAGCGAGAAAGGCCAATCGAATAAGGCCGGTGGGGAAAGATCTCTATTTTTAACTCCGTCAATTTTCGCAGAGCTATTCTCGAAGACAACCTGGTAGATATGTCGCTGTTGAAACACAATTATAGATTTTTAGTCTTCCGGTTAGCCCCGCCCACTTTGGCGCACGCCCCGCCCACCACAGGGACTTGAATGATTTCTCTATGGTAGCCTTTAGTCACCTATTTTTAGATTCCAAAATTTTTCAAAGGAGCTATGCATATTTGGATAACGCTACTCTTTCCTCGACAGCTCACTCTCTGCCACCACGGGCAGTTAATTTAGTAAATAACTATTGAAATCCTATGTAAAGCTGAATCTCTTCACTGGTAACTCTATAATTCACGAGCTTACTTTTCCTATTGAGGAAGCCATACACCTCTTGCATAACCTTTGATTGGAGTACTGCGGTCAAGAAAGCCAGTGATTCTTGTGCGTCCTGAAATGTCTGAGGGTCAATGAGAATTTGGAATCATTTCAAGGGTTTGGGTGGGTGTTTGTGTGAATGCGTTGAAACGAAGACCCTTATCTGGGGGCTTGAGCCTCCCAAACGCACCTCTTGCTTCGAGACACGAGGCTCTGGTTTACCAGCTTCGCGATGGAAGTTGTCGAAAAGGACCATTAGCGACTTGTAAGTGGGCCTCGTAAAAAGAAACGGATCCACTCCACTGATGAGTCTGAAATCAATGTTCCTGGAGAGTTCTCTTTTCCAAAATAAAGGGTCAAGCGGGACCATGGCACTTCGCCAAAATGGTTCCAGGTGCCTAGAGTAGACCCATGGTTGTAGGTACTCCAGCTACCCGAGAAGGGGTTGTAGGGCGTTACGTCCAGTTCCCTTCAGGACTCAGAAACCGCTTAAAAATTACCATTTCAAGTGTCTAACCAGAAAGTCCGCCCAAAGAATCGGGATCGCAACAGCAGGGATAAACAAACCTTTCGGGTGCATTGTCCTTTGTGTCTCCCGGAGTGGTATGACCCTGGAAGTTCACTTTGATCTGTTGTCGACGAGCTCCGTTCTCATCGAGTTCAGTCAATTTTCTCGATAGAGCTAATAGTTCTTCGTTGGCGACACGAAACTCTGAAAATTCATTTTTTCTTTGATCTAAATTTCTAGTTATTTTTGGTTATCAATAGATATCGAGTTATACTAATTAATAAGTCTTTGAAAAGCCGAAAAGAGAAGCGACAAAATCTCAGGACTCCTTTACACCCACGTGGAATACTCTCTGCAGCAAAGGCTGCCTGTCCAAAGGTGATTGCTACCAACACGAATCGCAACATTCCTGAAATAGATAAGCATAGTAATCAATAAAAGACAAAAAATAAAGTCTTTGGGTGTCGAACAATCCCTCTCAGAGGTGCGCCCCGAATTCGACTTCCATTCAGAATCGTAGGGCGTATTGAATGTGTATGTGGCCTATACCATGACTTGCGATGCCCAGCCGATGAACAAGTCAGTGTCTTTCTCCTCCCAAGCTGTCTGGCACCAATTACCCAATCCCAAAAGGATGGAAAGCTTATTGGCCAGAGCGGATATCGATCCGGGATTTCAACCCCAGACCACGAGTGTGGGATAGTGCGCCACTTGCTTCTACACCACCTCCGCTCCATAGTAATCAATAACTGATGTAGATAGTGAACAGATCGTGAAAAAACAAAAAGGCATCGATATCCGTGGATTGGTGATAGCGGTGACGTTTGACTTGAGGCAGGTGTTACCCCTTCCCCGAAGGCCTTATATGGACTAGTGAGGTGGAGCGTAAATAACGTGGGCTTTATGCACTTTTGAACAA